AAGCACTTGTCTTTACTTGATGTGTTCCCCTAGCCCAGTATAAGCTCTGAGAGGACGGGGACGGCTTCTTTTGTTTACTGAGGTTCTAACCCTCGGAGCAATGCACATGCCAGGTGCTCCCTGATCCCCGAATGAGTCTGTGCCATCCTGGTATTCCACAGGAGGAGGACAGCCTCTGACATGCCTAACACTTTTGATGTCTGTAAGTCCTGAAATTCTACCAGTGGCAGCTAGACAGAGTGAGGCTGGCTAAAGGAGGCTGCCCAGGGATGGGGCAGTCAGGGACAGATGAAGGAGGGCGTAGCTGCTTGACAGGGAAGGGTGGGGCCAGAGCACACTCCTCTTTCACACAGGGGAGCCAGGGCGGGGGCTCGGGTTGAGAGCGCTGGGTACCTAGCAGGGAGAAAGCTGAGGTGCATGTGAGTAGACAGGCGACAGTCCATCACGGCACACACCCACGGGTCCTCACATACGTGCCAGGCACTGCTCCAGGTGTAGAAACCTAAGTCCCATCCGCAGGGGTCCGTGCGGGAATGTCATTAAGTTCACAGGTGCAGGGATATCTTTTGCTTTGGGCTCTTCCATGTTTTCAACATCTTTTTAAAACCTGTCTCCTCCACAAACTTTACTACCCCTTCCAGTGTCACCAGGAAACTTCACTTCAGAAGTCATCAGACTAGAACGACCTCTGCTTCCAGCCAATGGACCTCATATCTCCCTGTATGGGCTCCTGCTCAGCCCTCTCACCAGCATGGCTCACAGGTGACCTCTGAATTACACTAACCTTCCAAGCTGGCCTGCCAAATTCTGAAGCCCACGCTATTTTTCACTCTGGCACTGATCAGGCTACTGAGGAAGCTCTCAGAACTAGTGTGAAAAAGAGAACACAGAGGCACCTGAGGCAAGAAAGAGTAAGCGGATAACTCAGGTTATCCAAGAAGGGAGTCCCAGAGCCCCATGTGGGGATAAACTAGATCAGTTCTGGCTGGGGCAGACAAAACAAACGGGACTTAGGGACAGCATGGACCTCTGGCTGAGGAAAAGGTGGCCTGGGACCAGTGCCTAAAGAGCTCCTGAAATATCAGAAATCTAAATGGCCAAGCATAGAGATGCATATGAAAAAGAAACAGTCTTTTCTTCTGTATGGATTTAAAGGAGGCCCCCAAACAAGAGGGTGGGCTTAAGCCCTGGGGATGACAAGGAGCTGCAGGACAGGAGCCAGGGAATAGAAAGCTGGCCTGCGGTATGGATGTGGTGTTGGCCCACCGGCAGGCACCTGCAGGGTGGATAAGAAGCCAGGGTCAAGTTGGATGTGCCAGTGGGGATGGTGCAGTAGCCTCCAGGGAGATGGTGACAGCTGCGGTACAGGCTGGCGACAGAGGATCGGTGAGCCCTGGGAGCCCTCACCAGGCAAAGGGAGCAGCAGGGCAGGTGCAGGGTGCCACATGGGGAGCGGGCGCAAGTGCTGCCTCCCCCTTCCAGGAGGCTGTAGTGCACAGGGTGCAGAGCGGAAGGCAGGTTGATGGAGGAGGGAAACAGCTGGGGAAAGGGGAGGACAACCAGGGAACAGGGAGGCTGCCTCAGCTGGCCTGGAAGGACAGTACCTAGCCCAGTGGGAAGAAATCGCTGTGGGGAATTCCTGGAGTGCTCCACATTCCGAACTGGGGCAAAGAGGAGTGACAGAGCCCATGCATCCAGAAAGGGGCCCAGGGATATGCTCAAAGTGAGGAGTGACCCTCCCACCCCAAGAGGGGCTTGCTGAGCTCGGCGACTTAACACAGGGTCCACAGGACCTGCATGTCTGATGCACACCGCACAGTGTCCCGTGTGCAGGCCACGCAGGTGTGCAGCTCTGGCCACAGCACCATCTAAGCACGCACCACCACCTGCCTCCACATACCAATATACAAAACATGCATGTCGCTGTCACTGTAAACACAGTTTCTCTGTCAGAATCAAGCGCTTTCACTTTCATCTCCTTGGTCCTCTACCTCACTTCCTCCTACACAGGGCTTACCACAGGCCATGAAGGCTGCTGTCCGATCCCTCAACTAAGCTATTCTCCAAGCAAAACAACATGAGTGCTGGTCTAGCTGTGGTGGTTGCAGATGCCCCAGCCCTGCGGACAGCTCCTGTCCTGCAACATGTTCTCTCCTGTCCCCAACAGGGGCACAGACTCCCACCAATAAGACTTACTGGGTGAGAGTTTCTGCCCAGAGGGTCCTCAGAAAAACCACAACCTGGGTAGGGAAAGCTCTTCAGGCACTGGGTCTACCCCACCCCACCTTTAACTCTTGAAAACCCTATCAGAGACGCCAGGAGGCTTCTCACCAATGCTCTGCCGGTTCTTTCATCCTTCTGCCCAGAATCCTGTATCCTGCCATGAAGACAGGATGGGAAGAGCACAGGAAATGCAGTCAGAAGACTTGGGCTTGGTCCTACCCATTCCTTAGGTGCCATGAGATCTTTCCTGTTACTTCTGAGCCCCGGTGTGCAACCACACAGAGTGGAAGGAATGGCTCTGCCACGGAGAGGGAAACACTCCTGGAAGGCAGAGGGGCCAGACTGACAGGCTCCTGTCAGAGGCAGGCTAGGCCATATGGCGCTATTCTCCTTTCTGGGATTTAAGTAAGTGTTGCTGGAACTCAACAAGCCCTGCCCAGTGCGTGTTCCCCAGCGCTCAGAGCCCAAGGGAGACACGCCCCATGAACTCAGCGCCATGCACAGACATCTGCTTAAACTGACTCCGTGGCAGGTTCCAGGGGACACGGGGAAACAGACACAGGTCTTGCTCTGAGCTTGCTTGGTGGGAAGAGCTCAGAGTGGCATTTGTTCGTGTTGTGGCAGAGGCAAGCTCCAGTGGAGCTTGCTTTGTGGCTGGGAACAGACCCTCAGCATGAGGGGAGTCTGGGTCCCCTGGTAGGCTCCTCAGCCTGAGGAGGAAGTGAGCATATTTGCTCTCTGAGAAACCAGAGTGCGAGTCCGGGCCCAAGCAGACTCGGCCCCATGCTGGTCCTGCACCAGAACTCGGTGCTCATTTTTACACTCAGTCTGAGAGCCCGGAGAGCAATTCGGCTTCTAAGGAGAAAGCTCTGTGACAAGGAATTACTTTCTTCGAGGTCCTCCTCTGGAAAGCAGAGCGAATCACAGGTTTGCCGGTCTAAAAGCCTGGGAGTGACACTCTGCAGACCCTCTCCCTGAGCCCCAGTCACAAGCGGCACCTCCAGGGGCAGGACTGCTCTGCCCACAATCGTCCCACACTAGCGCCTGACTCCGCAGCACTCAGGCGATGAGACAGGCTGCCCTTCCCAGCACCGCGGAGCCCAGAGCCCAGCCGGCCTGGGACAATCAGCTTCCCCATCACGTCCCTGTCTAGCGCTAGCTGGGGCAGGAGACCCTAACCTTTGCCTGGGACCCAGGGAGGGTGGTCCAGGATCCGGGAGCAAGCCATCCCCTAGAATTACAACAAGAACAAAACCCTAATGGGAGGCGTCCCACCTCCATCTCATTCTACCTCGCCAGCAATTTCTGCCTCTTGTTCAAAGCAGAGTTAGCAGCAGCAGCAGCTGCACCAGGCCTGAAGTCTGGGAGCAGCCTTCGTGGTCTACAGTTAAGTTACCTCGCACACACCCAGATCTGCTACAGTCCTGGCTGGTGTGCTTCGACCAATTCCTCCCCGTCCGAACTCTCGGCAAATGCACACAGCGCAGGAGGAGGGAGCCACATCCATCGCCCCTCGGATCTCACGCAGCACTTGTCCCGCAAGTGCGTCCCGCGCTCTCGGCTGAGCAGGGTCTGGACAGGGCGGCCTCTTCCCCAGCCTCGCGCAGCCCTGCCTGCTCTCGCGAAAGGAACTCTGAAGCGGCCTAATATGGAAGCTGGCGGCTCCGAGCAAGACCGCCCTGGCAGACACTCAGC